AGAGGAATAATAATCAGTGGATTCGATATGATAAGGAAATCAATTTTAAAAAAAGAACACACCTACATACATATATACTATATTTATATGCACAAATTACGACCGGATGGTGAACCAAGAACTCTGTACAATTAACTTAAAGAATATATCTAAACCATCATTTAAAAAAATCAAAGAATATATAGAAATTACAATAAGAAGGCGAAAAAATATGCATTAAAAATTATATAACTATAATACTAGGTGATTTTTCTTTTTTGCTTCCAAATTTTCAATTTCTAAAAAAAATTCCAAACATCTAATATTCCAATGCCCATTCATTTTCCGCAATAAAAGCATCGACAACTTCTTTCATGGTATAATTCGGTATTAATTGGTCGGGTGTTAATTTGACACGTGTGACCGGATCAAAGTGTCCCACACGTTGCAAATGCTCCTCAATATCTTTACGTTCATAGGTAATGCCAGATGGTGTTATAACGGGATCGGTTAAAATTTCAAAACTTATTTTACCACACAAATAATCGGGCACCTCACGTTTCTGTAAGGAAATGCAAAAATTAATTATTTTTTTGATTGAATTTAATTTTTAAATAAAATGCTCTACCCTTCGACGTTCATCGACTTTGGCAAATATATTATTTAACTCCTTGATATGGTCATCCTAAATGAAATGAAAAAAAATTGAAAATTAAATTGAGAAAATATTGCATCTGAATGGCATTTTATTCTTGCTTACACATTCTTGTTCAATTTCCTGTTGTTTCTCCTTTAATTGATCTTCACTGGTATTGTCATCAAGTTTCAGTTTGGCCAAGCGATTTTCCATGTCCTCTTTGATTAACCTTTAGGGAATTAATTGAGAAAAAAATAAATGCAAGGATAATGTATTAAAAAGTCAGGATGATCCTCTATAAGTAGTCTTTAAAAAATTCATAATTTTTGTAAGATGATCCTCTATAAATGGTCACTCAAAAATTCCGACTTCTTGGTCAGAATATCATCAAAAAATAGTCATTAAAAATTCATACTTCTTCGTCAAATGGTCCTCTAAAAATAGTCAGTAAAAAACTTCGTCTTCTCGGTCAGATTGTCCTCTATAAATAGTCATTAAAAAAATTAGGCTTCTTGGTCAAATGGCCCCCTATAAATATTGAATAAAAATTCAGACTTCTTTGTCAGATAATCCTCTATAAATAGTCATTAAAAAATGCAGACTTCTTCTATAAATATTGATCAAAAATTCAGACTTCTAGGTCGGATGGTCCTCTAAAAATTGTGATTATAAAATTTAGATGGCTCTAAAAATATTCTTTAAAAATCCACGCCTCTTCTTCGAAAGGTCCTCTATAAATATTCTTTAAAAAATCTACGCCTCTTCTTCGAAAGGTCCTCTATAAATATTCTTTAAAAAATCTACGCCTCTTCTTCGAAAGGTCCTCCATAAATATTCTTTAAAAAATCTACGCCTCTTCTTCGAAAGGTCCTCTATAAATATTCTTTAAAAAATCTACGCCTCTTCTTCGAAAGGTCCTCTATAAATATTCTTTAAAAAATCTACGCCTCTTCTTCGATAGGTCCTCTAAAAATATTCTTTAAAAATCCACGCCTCTTCTTCGAAAGGTCCTCTATAAATATTCTTTAAAAATCCACGCCTCTTCTTCTAAAGGTCCTCTAAAAACATTCTTTAAAAATCCATGCCTCTTCTTCGAAAGGTCCTCTTCCATACCTATTAATATAGCTTTGCAATTCAATTTCCTGACAAATCCTCTTCTCCTCCAACACGTTCCAACGTTTCTTGCGGGCCAAACGTAACTGGGACGTTATATCATCGCCATAGTTTTGCTTCTTTTCTTTGGACAAATCGAAGGCTTGCGAACGTAAATATTAAAAAAACAACACAAAGATTATTAATAATTCCAAAACATCGACCCACACACACACACAGCCGAACAAACATACCCCTTTGTAAATGTTTTATGGCATCATCGTAGAGTTCCGCTTCCATTAAACACTGACCCAAAAAGAAATGGGCCTTTAGCATATTTGGATTTATGTCCAAGGCGCTCATACAATCATGGCAGGACAGCTCCCAACGTTTCAGTTTCAGATAACACAAAGCCCGATTGGTGTAATAAGTGGCATTATTGGGATTTTTGACCTAGGAGACAAAGGGAAGGAAGGAATAAAATTAATTTAAAAAACGAATTAGGTGACAATTCTAAAAATATCAAGTTCACCAGGAATTGGATCCCCCTGTCCGTAACTTACAATGCACTTGGAATAGCAATTAATGGCATCTTCATATTTCCTGGCCGAAAATAGATTATTGCCCTGCTCCTTCAGTTGGACATCGGTTAAATTCGTGGTGGAGTAAACATGTTTGCTACTCATTTTTCTCCAGCAAATAAAGAAATTTGGTGGTGGACAATCTATGAGGATATCTGAAAATCCAACAACACTTTTCCCAAAAAATTACAAAAAAATGATACTCAATTAGAATGGACCGAGCGAAGTTAAAAACGTTCCGAATGCAACGAATGGAGGGAGGTAGGAGAGAATGGTGATAAAATATAAGATTACAAGAAAATGGCGAGAGGTATTCTTTGTTTACGAAGACGGGTAAAGCATAACCTCAATAACCAACAGATGATGGCAGAAAAAGCCCCTGGAACTTTGGAGACCGATTCAAGCAATTAGCCTGGATTTTTAAGAAAAATTTTTGGAGGAAGTTCTCGAAAATAAACGGAAATTTATTAAAGAATATTTATAGAGGTCCTTCCAAACAAAAAGTGCGAATTTTTTAAAGATTAATTTTAGAGGAATATCAGAGCCTTAGGCGTGGATTTTTTAAAGCAAATTTTTAGAGAAATATCAGAGCCTTAGGCGTGGATTTTTTAAAGCAAATTTTTAGAGAAATATCAGAGCCTTATTTTTAGAGAAATATCAGAGCCTTAGGCGTGGATTTTTTAAAGCAAATTTTTAGAGAAATATCGGAGCCTTATTTTTAGAGAAATATCAGAGCCTTAGGCGTGGATTTTTTAAAGCAAATTTTTAGAGAAATATCAGAGCCTTATTTTTAGAGAAATATCAGAGCCTTAGGCGTGGATTTTTTAAAGCAAATTTTTAGAGAAATATCAGAGCCTTATTTTTAGAGAAATATCAGAGCCTTAGGCGTGGATTTTTTAAAGCAAATTTTTAGAGAAATATCAGAGCCTTAGGCGTGGATTTTTTAAAGCAATTTTTTAGAGAAATATCAGAGCCTTAGGCGTGGATTTTTTAAAGCAAATTTTTAGAGAAATATCAGAGCCTTAGGCGTGGATTTTTTAAAGCAAATTTTTAGAGAAATATCAGAGCCTTAGGCGTGGATTTTTTAAAGCAAATTTTTAGAGAAATATCAGAGCCTTAGGCGTGGATTTTTTAAAGCAAATTTTTAGAGAAATATCAGAACCATAGGCGGGGGTTTTTAAAGCAAATTTTTAGAGAAATATCAGAACCATAGGCGGGGGTTTTTAAAACAAATTTTTAGAGAAATATCAGAGCCATTGATTTTAGAGGACTATCAGGCCAATAAGCGTGGGTTTTTTACATATTAATTTTATAGGACTATCAGGGGTTTTTAACATATTAATTTTAGAGGACTATCAGGCCAATAAGCGTGGGTTTTTTACATATTAATTTTAGAGGACTATCAGGGGTTTTTAACATATTAGTTTTAGAGGGCTATTAGGCCAATAAGCGTGGGTTTTTTACATATTAATTTTAGAGGACTATCAGGGGTTTTTAACATATTAATTTTAGAGGACTATCAGGCCAATAAGCGTGGGTTTTTTACATATTAATTTTAGAGGACTAGCAGGCCAATAAGCGTAGGTTTTTTACATATTAATTTTAGAGGACTATTAGGCCAATAAGCGTGGGTTTTTTACATATTAATTTTAGAGGACTAGCAGGTCAATAAGCGTAGGTTTTTTACATATTAATTTTAGAGGACTAGCAAGCCAATAAGCTTTTTTTAGGACTTTCCTAAACTAATAATTTTAGAGGACCCCCTCAACAGTAGGTGTGGATTTTTTAATATTAATTTTAGAGGACCTTACAAGCAATAAGCATGGACTTTTTTAAGATTATTTGTAGAGGACTTTCCCAACAATAATTATGGAATTTTTAAAGATTAAATTTTTAGTGACAATTCGACCTCTATTCTCGTATTTTATAACGAATATTTATAGATGACTATCAGAACAAAAATTTGAGATTTTTAAAGATTATTTATAGAGGACTGTGTGATTATTAATTTGGTATTTCAAAAGGATATCTGGAGGACCCCCTGATTAATAATTTTGGATTTTTCGAGTATATCTTTGGACATCCATTTGCTCAATAATCGTGGATTTTTTTAAAGCCTATACATAGAGGACCATCTGTCCAATAACCTTGAGAATAATAGAGACTAATAGCCTGTTTTTGTAAAATTCCAAACGAACGAATTCGAGTGACTTACGACCAAACTCCTTGGTTTTGAAAAATATGTCATTTATTTTTGTTTTGATTCAGAAAACATTTATAAACATAAATAAAGGTTTGGTCGTAAGTCACTCGAATTCGTCCGTTTGTAATTTTACAAAAACAGGCTGTAATTGATGAAGAAATTTTAACTTATTATCCTGGTTAAAAGACCTTTATTATTTTAACAAGTTTTGCCGCCGATAACATAACCCAACTTCGTTGTCATATCATCAGCTGATACAGATTATTTTTCTTTGCATTTTTCACATTTTCACCGTATTTTCTCTACTCCACTATTCGTAAACAAATGCCTTCCATGTGCATTTTATTTTACCCTCATCTTTATTGTCCATTATTTTCAGTTTCCCCACCATTCAAAGCAATGGAATCGTAGCATGGTTGCAACTAGTTTCACACCGTTCCACTGAATGAATATTTGTGCATAGAACTCGTTTGTTTTCGCTGGAGCCACGGAAAATCGTTTAGGGACTATGGGTGATGAGGAATATGAACGTTTCGAAATAACCGATTATGATTTGGAAAATGAATTCAATCCAAATCGTTTTCGTAAAAAGCAGAGCAAGCAACAGGCCATTTATGGTAAGTGAAGGAAATCCCTATTCTGAACCCATCTCTAAAATATTTTGAAAATATCCTAGGCATCTGGGCCGATGACAGTGACAAAGATGATGATGACGATGAAGACAACTCCTCGGGTCGCAATCGTAAAGGACGTCGTCGCATGGGTTTGGGTGGTGGCTCATCCGGCGGCCGTTCCAAAGACTATACAGCCCCAGTAAGTTTTGTTGCCGGTGGCATACAGCAGGCCGGCAAGAAAAACAAATCCAAGAAATCGGCAGATGATGATGAACGCAATTCGGACGATGCTGAAAATCCAATTACGGATGAAGAGGATGAATTAAATTCACATCCGGGTTTTGGTGCTGGTCAGCGGCCAACCTTAATGGATGCTGAATCACCCCATACAAGTGAAGATTCGGAAGAAGAAGAACAAGAGCGAAGAATGCCACCACCATCAAAAGCGTCCGGCTTCAAGCAGCAGCAAACAGGACATCTTAAAGTTGGTGCCTGGGAACAACATACCCGTGGTATTGGTGCCAAGTTATTGCTGCAAATGGGTTACAAACCGGGCATGGGTTTGGGTAAAGATCTGCAGGGTATATCACAACCGGTGGAGGCTCATGTACGCAAGGGTAGGGGTGCCATTGGAGCATATGGCCCTGAGACGGCAGCTAGTGTGGGTGGCAAGGGGGTAAGTATAGAATAACATTCCAGGGGTGAATATAATATAATTTTGGAATTTTTGTTTCCTTAGCATGTTCCCAAAATCGATGAGGATGTCCGTGAGGCAAAGGAGTTCAAAGAGAAATTAAATAAATGGAAAAAGAGCGGAACTGAGTGCCGTTCGGATAAAAATTCAAAACGTTACTATTACAAATCGGTGGAAGAAGTTTTGGAGAAGGGCAAGAGCTCGAATTTTATTATTGGCGATAAAATAAGGTAAGAATATTGGACCCTTCAAAAAATATATTTGTTTATCTATGCCATGTGCGGGTCTTTTACAAAATATTTTTAAAAAATCCTCGCCACTGTTGAACCTTCATCTAAATGTTTCCTTATTTTCCGTTTCAGCAAAAAGTTGGGTAATGTCCCTGTCATCGATATGACGGGTCCGGAGAAGCGTGTCCTTAGCGGTTACCATGCAATCGGTCAGACAAAAGTTGTGGATGAAGATCTCTATGATTCTGTGGTGCAGGAAACACAACCGAAAAAATCCACCGCCACCTTTGCTCTGCCCGAACTAATGCACAATCTCTCCCTAATTGTCAATATGTGCGAACAGGATATCATTACCTTGGATACGGCTCAAAATAATGCCAGCGAACGCTGCACAGCGCTGGAGCAGGAAAAGAAACAACTGGAAGAAATTGTTAGTTTGGAAAGAAATCACATAAATACCCTGGATCATGTTCTCTCCATGGTAGATGAACTAACTGCCGGCGGTGAAGACTTGCGCCTTTCTCGGGCCGAAGAAATTTTCTTGGAATTACAACAAAACTATGCTGCGGAATATAAACAATTTGGGTTGGATGATTTGGCGGCGGGTGTTATAGCCCCATTGCTTAAACAGCACTTAGCCGATTGGAAGCCTTTGGAGTCACCCACCCAATATGTGGATGTTATTAAAAAATGGCGTACCATATTGGAGGTACACAATGAGGACACGACAGAGAAACGCTCCAACATTTTCGATCCATACTCCTCCCTCATATGGGCTGGGGTAATACCAAGTTTCCGCTCATGTGCTGAATTTTGGGATCCCAAGCAACATCAATCGATGGCGGCATTATTAGATTGTTGGGCTCCTCTCTTCCCCTCATGGATATTGGATTCGGTATTAGAACAATTGGTACTGCCACGTTTGAGTGCAGGTGTAAAACAATGGGATCCACTGACAGATACCGTACCCATCCACATTTGGATATTGCCATGGAATGCCATATTGGGTCACAAAATGGAAGAGTTCATCTATCCAACAATACGTGAGAAGTTAGGAAATGCTTTAAGGGCATGGTTGCCACAAGATCGTTCGGCTAGGGCGATGCTGACACCATGGAAGGGGGCATTCGATGAACATCAAATGCAGTTGTTCCTGTTGACCCATATTATACCCAAGCTGCAGATGGTTTTGAATGAATTCATTATTAATCCGCTGCAACAGGATTTGGGTAAGTTGAAAAAAAATATTTAAAAAAACACGTCCTATTTGGAGACCTAAAAAATATTTTTAAAAAACCCACGCCTATTTGGAGACCTTAAAAATACTTTTTTTTTATTTCAGAACCCTGGAACCAGGTCTATGAATGGCATGAATTAATACCTCCCGGTCAAATGGCCCAGCTGTTGGACAAATTCTTCTTCCCCAAATGGATGCAGGTGTTGGTTATGTGGCTAAATCAATCTCCCGATTATGTAGAAATATCCCGTTGGTATAGCGGCTGGAAGAGTATGTTTTCCGAGGACCTGCTGCGCGAGGCTAGCATTAAGGAACATTTACGTCGTGCCCTTGAAATGATGCATCGTGCCACAGATCAAGTACCCCATATACCAGGCCAGGCTACAAACCAACCCAATATGGCTACCAATACACCGCCACCACCACAGCCTCCACCACCTCCCTCGATCCTCCTGAATATGGATATGTCGTCGGCAGCGGCCCCTGTACAATTAGAATTTAAAGAATTGGTTTCACGTAAATGTGCCGAGCGTGGTATACTCTTTGCCCCGCTACCCGGTCGTCGTGAACTGGGCAAACAAGTTTATCGTGTTGGTAAACTGTATTGCTATATCGATCGTAATGTTTGTATGATAACCGATAGTTCATTTAAAAATTGGATACCCACACCACTGCAGCCAATGCTCGAACGGGCCGTAACGGGAATTTTGAATTAAGATTTTTTTTCTTAGAGACATAGGAATTAAGGTTTAATTTAATTGTGAAAAATAAAATCAACATAATAAAAATATAGTAATCATGTTGCAACATGCATACCTTGGAGGTTGTGTTCATGACATCTTTATACATTTTTTGTTGTTGCAGATTTGCCGTCCACAATGCAAACAGAATGGCCTGCAATTTGCCAAATCATCGTCATCATCTGGAAATGTCCCATTGGGTTTTCTGCAAATCATAAAGACGTTGTTGTAATAATCGACGACACTGAAGACCACAACATGATGGGTATTTCAAAATTATTTCACAACAAAATTCCTATCAGATTTTCTTATCTCAAAAAAAATGTTTGATTTTCGATAAAATTAAGAGGGTTAAATTTATTGTTAACGACTAATTTTGTGAGAACATCTGGTAATAAATTCTATAACTAGTTCTCAAAAGATAAAAATTGTAAAATAAATTTAATCTTATCAGAAATCGATAAAGTCAAAGTAATATCTAGGGAGATAACCCATAAAAAGAAATGTCAAAGGTTTCAAGATTTTTTTAAATATTTTTTAAAGTCCTTAACCAAAGCGTGGATTTTTTTTAAATTAATTTTTGGAGCCCTTCAAATTTTTGGAGACTTCAGTTAATTTTTGGAGACTTCAACCAAGGTGTGGAGTTTTTAAAATTCATTTTTGGAGAACTCAATTAATTTTTGGAGACCTCAACCAAGGCGTGGATTTTTTAAAATTAATTTTTGGAGACCTCAATTAAGTTTTGGAGACCTCAACCAAGGCGTGGATTTTTTAAAATTAATTTTTGGGGATCTCAATTATGTTTTGGAGACCTCAACCAAGGCGTGGATTTTTGAAAATTAATTTTTGGAGACCTCAATTACGTTTTGGATGTGGATTTTTTAAAATTAATTTTTGGAGACCTCAAATAATTTTTGGAGACCTCAATTAATTTTGGAGACCTCAACCAAGGCGTGGATTTTTTAAAATTAATTTTTGGAGACCTCAATTAATTTTGGAGACCTCAAGCAAGGCGTGGATTTTTTAAAATTAATTTTTGGAGACCTCAATTAATTTTTGGAGACCTCAACCAAGGCGTGGATTTTTTAAAATTAATTTTTGGAGACCTCAATTAATTTTGGAGACCTCAACCCAGGCGTGGATTTTTTAAAATTAATTTTTGGAGACCTCAATTAATTTTGGAGACCTCAACCAAGGCATGGATTTTTTAAAATTAATTTTTGGACCTCAATAATTTTGGAGACCTCAAGCAAGGCGTGGATTTTTTAAAATTAATTTTTGGAGACCTCAATTAATTTTTGGAGACCTCAATCAAGGCGTGGATTTTTTAAAATTAATTTTTGGAGACCTCAATTAATTTTGGAGTCCTCAACCCAGGCGTGGATTTTTTAAAATTAATTTTTGGAGACCTCAACCAAGGCATGGATTTTTTAAAATTAATTTTTGGAGACCTCAACCAAGGCATGGATTTTTTAAAATTAATTTTTGGAGACCTCAATTAATTTTGGAGACCTCAATTAATTTTGGAGACCTCAATTAATTTTTGGAGACCTCAACCAAGGCGTGGATTTTTTAAAATTCATTTTTGGAGTCATCAATTAATTTTTGGAGACCTCAGACAAGGCGTGGATTTTTTTAAAATTAATTTTTGGAGACCTCAATTAATTTTTGGAAACCTCAACCAAGGCATGTATTTTTTAAAATTAATTTTTGGAGACCTATATTAATATTTGGAGACCTTAACCAAGGCGTGGATTTTTTAACATTAATTTTTGGAGACCTTAACCAAGGCGGGGAGCCCGTCAATAGGCTTGGATTTTTTAAAATTAATTTTTGGAGACCTTAACCAAGGCGTGGATTTTTTAACATTAATTTTTGGAGACCTTAACCAAGGCGGGGAGCCCGTCAATAGGCTTGGATTTTTTGAAATTAATTTTTGGGGACCTTAACCAAGGCGGGGAGCCCAAATATGCGTCGATTTTTTAAAATATTTTTTCAAGTTTTTTTTTTTGTCGAACTTGAAATCCACTTCACATTATCACTTTAGAAGTGGTCCTGATAAGACCTGATCTGTGACAATGCAATGCAACCAAGCACACATATCATCATCATCGAGTTATCGAATTTCCGAATAATTTGTTTTTGTTTTTTTAATTCGCCAGAGGAAATAATCAAGCAAATAGATTTTTTTTTCAATTGGTAATGAAATACCATCGAATGAATTGTTCGCAAGTGTTTAATTCGAAATTAGCGGTGCCGGTGTAAAGAACAAACAAATTGGTTGGTCGGAACCAACATAGCTGGGCTGGTTAGCGAATTTATTGCCGATATAAAAAAGTGAAATCAATAATCAATGATAACTAATAGAGTGTGTGTGTGTGTGAGTGTGCATATGTGTGTGAGTGTGGGCCTGATCAATTGAAAGCATAAACAATTTTTGGGCAATTAATAATCGAATGATGATGTAAAACAGAAACGAAAAAGAGCTCCGCACCACCTGTATAGTTTTCAAATTTTCAAAAAACCGTCGAAAGAAAAATCCGAAACAATTATTTCGGTGTTCAGGGTCAAGTACAAAAAATAAACACAGCGAACAAAAACAATTCTCAAATGTTTTTCTAACTACAAAAAAAGAAAAAATCCGCAATGAATTTGAAAACGCTGAAGCTGTTCCCGTGTATTTATCGTCGAAATTTTGAAGTGTTTTTGCTGATATGCACCATATCGATTGCCTGCATCCTGTTGACCCATCATGTTCGTACAGCCATAAAGGAGGTTCGATACGATCGACATTTATATGCCGAACGTCAACAGGCTCCGCCACAGGATAAACGACAAATGCGAAATGCGGAATTGAAATCGATGCTACATTGCTTCGATCGGCCACTGCATATGGAACAATTGCAGTATGGCAAATATTGGTTGTTGCAGAATTTAATACGAGGACGTCTTAGCATCAATATGGGATGTTCAGAATCTATAACCTATACCACAAATGGGGATTACACATTTATTGATAATATCGGGATGGTGGTGACACGGTAAGGGGATCGATTTAAATATTTTTAAAAACATAAACCTATTTTTTGAGGTCTTATACAAGACATGGATTTTTTAAACATATTTTTTTGAGGTCTTATACAAGGCGTGGATTTTTTAAACATATTTTTTTGAGGTCTTATACAAGGCGTGGATTTTTTAAACATATTTTTTTGAGGTCTTATACAAGGCGTGGATTTTTTAAACATATTTTTTTGAGGTCTTATACAAGGCGTGGATTTTTTAAACATATTTTTTTGAGGTCTTATACAAGGCGTGGATTTTTTAAACATATTTTTTTGAGGTCTTATACAAGGAGTGGATTTTTTAAACATATTTTTTTGAGGTCTTATACAAGGCGTGGATTTTTTAAACATATTTTTTTGAGGTCTTATACAAGGCGTGGATTTTTTAAACATATTTTTTTGAGGTCTTATACAAGGCGTGGATTTTTTAAACATATTTTTTTGAGGTCTTATACAAGGCGTGGATTTTTTAAACATATTTTTTTGAGGTCTTATACAAGGCGTGGATTTTTTAAACATATTTTTTTGAGGTCTTATACAAGGCGTGGATTTTTTAAACATATTTTTTTGAGGTCTTATACAAGGCGTGGTTTTTTTTAACATATTTTTTGAGGTCTTATACAAGGCGTGGTTTTTTTTTAACATATTTTTTGAGGTCTTATACAAGGCGTGGATTATTTAAACATATTTTTTGAGGTCTTATACAAGGCGTGAATTTTTTAAATATATTTTTTGAGGTCTTATACAAGACGTGGATTTTTTAAACATATTTTTTTGAGGTCTTGTACCAGGCGTGGATTTTTTAAACATATTTTTTTGAGGTCTTATACAAGGCGTGGATTTTTTAAACATATTTTTTTGAGGACTTATACAAGGCGTGGATTTTTAAAACATATTTTTTTGAGGTCTTATACAAGGCGTGTATTTTTTAAACATATTTTTTGAGGTCTTATACAAGGCGTGGATTTTTTAAACATATTTTTTGAGGTCTTATACAAGGCGTGGATTTTTTAAACATATTTTTTGAGGTCTTATACAAGGCGTGGATTTTTTAAACATATTTTTTTGAGGACTTATACAAGGCGTGGTTTTTTTTAACATATTTTTTGAGGTCTTATACAAGGCGTGGATTATTTAAACATATTTTGTTGAGGTCTTATACAAGGCGTGAATTTTTTAAATATATTTTTTGAGGTCTTATACAAGGCGTGGATTTTTTAAACATATTTTTTTGAGGTCTTATACAAGGCGTGGATTTTTTAAACATATTTTTTTGAGGTCTTATACAAGGCGTGGATTTTTTAAACATATTTTTTGAGGTCTTATACAAGGCGTGGATTTTTTAAACATATTTTTTGAGGTCTTATACAAGGCGTGGATTTTTTAAACATATTTTTTTGAGGTCTTATACAAGGCGTGGATTTTTTAAACATATTTTCTGAGGTCTTATACAAGGCGTGGATTTTTTAAACATATTTTTTGAGGTCTTATACAAGGCGTGGATTTTTTAAACATATTTTTTTGAGGTCTTATACAAGGCGTGGAATTTTTAAACGTATTTTTTTGTGGTCTTATACAAGGCGTGGATTTTTTAAACATATTTTTTTGAGGTCTTATACAAGGCGTGGATTTTTTAAACATATTTTTTTGAGGTCTTATACAAGGCGTGGATTTTTTAAACATATTTTTTTGAGGTCTTATACAAGGCGTGGATTTTTTAAACATATTTTTTGAGGTCTTATACAAGGCGTGGATTTTTTTAAACATATTTTTTGAGGTCTTTTACAAGGCGTGGATTTTTTTAAACATATTTTTTTGAGGTCTTATACAAGGCGTGGATTTTTTTAAACATATTTTTTGAGGTCTTATACAAGGCGTGGATTTTTTAAACATATTTTTTTGAGGTCTTATACAAGGCGTGGATTTTTTAAACATATTTTTTTGAGGTCTTATACAAGGCGTGGATTTTTTAAACATATTTTTTTGAGGTCTTATACAAGGCGTGGATTTTTTAAACATATTTTTTTGAGGTCTTATACAAGGCGTGGATTTTTTAAACATATTTTTTGAGGTCTTATACAAGGCGTGGATTTTTTAAACATATTTTTTTGAGGTCTTATACAAGGCGTGGATTTTTTAAACATATTTTTTTGAGGTCTTATACAAGGCGTGGATTTTTTAAACATATTTTTTTGAGGTCTTATACAAGGCGTGGATTTTTTAAACATATTTTTTTGAGGTCTTATACAAGGCGTGGATTTTTTAAACATATTTTTTTGAGGTCTTATACAAGGCGTGGATTTTTTAAACGTATTTTTTTGAGGTCTCTCTTTGATGCCTGAAAACATTTTTTTAATTAAATTAATTTTTTTTATTTTCTTTCTTTCCAGCTGGATGGGTCCCATCAGCTTTGCCCTCTTCGCCCCTGGCTACGATTTCAATGCCACCATGGACTCTATTCAATATGCCCGCCACTGCTTACCCGAAAGTGGCCTGATACGAGATTATGTCACCTTTCATATCTATTTTCCGAATGATCATATGCCCGAAGAACGGGTACCCCTGACCGAAGAAGAAGCCTTGGAGTGGCCCTATGATTGTCAATTGGCTGAGGCGCCCTATGAGAATGTGAATCGCAGTGAAATGTACAAAACGAAGAAATATCTCCAATATCCCATAAATGTGGGACGGAATGTGGCAAGACGGGCCGCAAATACCCATTTTATTTTCGCCTGTGATATTGAGCTGTACCCCAGCCGGGGTCTGATAGAACAATTCTTAGATATGGCTTATCGGAATATAAGTGTGGTACTGCCGGGCTCTGATGGCAGGGCATTGAAGGTTTTTGCTTTGCCAGTTTTTGAGTTGGAAAAATCCGCAGCCATACCGGATACCAAGAAGGAACTGGTGGCAATGTTGAGGACAAAGAAGGCAATACCTTTTCATTATAATGTCTGCAAATCGTGTCATGTTGTGCCGGATCAAGGGAAATGGGTCAATGCCACCTACAGTGAACGATTGACGATATTCTCTGTGGGCAAACGCCATAAGAAATTCGTCTACTGGGAGCCATTCTACATCAGTGACAATCATGAGCCGCTATTCGATGAACGGGTCACGTGGGAGGGTCAATCCAATAAGCGCATCCAAAATTATGCCATGTGTTTATTGGATTATGAATATCATGTGCTGCATCCGGGATTTTTGGTCCATTCACCGGGCATTAAGAAATTCAATCCGAATTCGGAACGTCTGCAGTATGTCGGTCCAATGAATAAATTTATTGAGAAAAAAATTAAACCCGAATATGCGATACTCTATGGTAGAAATAAGGAATGTAAGGTGTGATGGAGTGCAGGGGGAACAAAATGGAATTGGAACAGAATTTTATTTTAGTATTTTAAAATGTAAATAAGAAAATTAATTTTAAGATATATTTTTTTTAATGGAAATATTTTATTAGGCAACATTTTTAGTTTTAAATAAATATTGTATATATCTCTGAGGCTAGTAGGAAATGTCCAAATAATTTTTGGAATGACTGTAATAAACGAATTTTAAAAGAAAAAAATAACTTTTTTATTTTTCAAATTTAAAAAAATCCACCCTAATATTTTTCTTTAAAAATATTTTTAAAATATCCACCCTTATATTTTTCAATAGCAAAAATATTTTTAAAAAATCCACCCTAATATTTTTTATCAAAAATATTTTTAAAAAATCCACCCTAGTATATTTTTTAAAATCCACTCTACTATTTTTTTTAAAGAAAATATTAAAAAAATAGTTTTAAAAAACCTACACTAATTTTTTCCATAACAAAAATATTTTTGAAAAAATCCACCCTAACTATATACCCTTCACCACTTTGGGTATAATGTACCTCCATCGCCAACCTATCCTAACTTTAATTCCATTCGAGCAGATTTAGAGCCGTCTGCGTAACATGGGAAAAATGTATGGAAAACGATTTATAGCAAAATTGATACAGGCTATTCGGTACGCCGCGTTGTTAAAAATATAATCTATATATGGGAGCTATATCAAAATCTCGACCGATTTTCCCGAAACTCACCACTCATCATTCTAGACTCAATTTAGTACACTAAGCCAACTTTTGTGCAAATCGAAGCATATAAAGGGACTTTGGGTCACTATTTACCTAAAATCGGACGAAAATATATATGGGAGCTATATCTAAATCTCAACCGATTTTCACGAAATTTAACACACATCGTTCTGGACTTAATTCAGTACGCTATGCCAAATTTCGTACAAATCGAAGGACATATAGGGACTTTGGTACACCATTTACCTTAAATCGGGAGAAAATATATATGGGAGCTATATCCAAATCTGAACCTATTTCCACGAAATTTAACACACATCATTCTAGATCTAATTCATTACGCTGTGCCAAATTTCGTGCAAATCGAAAGTTATATAAGAACTTTGGTACACCATTTACCTTAAATCGGACGAAAATATATATATGGCAGCTATATCTAAATCTGAACCGATTTTCACGAAACTGAACACACATCATTCTAGACCTAATTCACTACGCTGAGCTAAATTTCTTATAAATCGAAAGATATATAGGGACTTTGGTACACTATTTACCTTAAATCGGACGAAAATATATATGGGAGCTATATCCAAATCTGAACCGATTTTCACAAAATTTAACACACATGGTTCTAGACTCAATTTAGTACGCTATGCCAAATTTCGTGCAAATCGAAGTATATATATAGACTTTGGTACACCATATACCTTAAATCGGACGAAAATATATATGGGAGCTATATCCAAATCTGAACCGATTTTCACGAAACTTGACACACATTATTCTAGACTTAATTCATTACGCTGTGCTAAATTTCGTACAAATCGAATGTTATATAGGGACATTGGTACACCATTTACCTTAAATCGGACGAAAATATATATGGCAGCTATATCTAAATCTGAACCGATTTTCACGAAACTGAACACACATCATTCTAGGCCAAATTCATTACGCTGTACCAAATTTCGTGCAAGTCGAAAGATATATAGGGACCGTTTACATTAAATCGGACGAAAATATATATGGGAGCTATATCTAAATCTGAACCGATTTTCCCAAGTTCAATAGGGTTCGTCCTTGGACCAAATAAGTGACCTATGCCAAATTTCATCCAATTCTAAAGGTCTACAAAAACCTTCGTCGTCTTAAAAAAATATTTTTTAAAAAATCCACGCCTTGTATAAGGCCTTGAAAAAACGAAGGCCTCCAAAAAATATTTTTATAAAAATTACCCCACTGTGCATCGTTTATGTTTTGTTTATTAAAAAGAAACAAATACTATTTCCGAATCTCTACAACCTGAGCAGAATTTGTGTAAACAAAAGTAGAATAATCCAACCAACTGACATATGGTTCGGAAACTAAAACTGAATTCCGCATAGAAATGAGTAGCGACGACTCAGCACTAAAACCCTCGAATAGGCAAATAAAATGTTTCCCAATTTTATTTATCGGGATTTTGACACTAATTCTGATATGGTTAATAATTTCATTGGGTGTGACAACAAATATTCGCCCGGTAAAAATTGCCGTTTGGCAGCATCTGGAAGGTCGTGGGGAATCTCCGGGCTTGGATTCCAGAAAAACGGAAAATCTAAAATCATTGCTGAAATGTAAAAATTCGGAATTAGAAATGAAATTATTATTCCGTGGCAATTATTGGATTTTGCAGAATTTATTTATTGGTCGACGAAGTCGCACAATGGATTGTGCCGAAGCGGTAACATTTACCACAGTTGCGGATTATAGTTATCTCGGGCATTTGGAATTGATTGTGGAAAGGTGAGTATGACAATTTCGAAGAAGGGATCTCTTTTAAGAGATTTTAATTTCTTCTCTTTCTATTCGGCAGATGGATGGGTCCCATAAGTCTGGCCCTTTTTGCACCAGGGCATGATTTCAATGCCACCCTGAATGCCATACAATATGCCCGGCATTGTCTCCCCATAAGTCAGCTGATACGGGATTATGTATCCTTCCATATCTATTTTCCAAGTGGACATATGCCCGACGAACCAATACCCCGTTCCGAAGTCGAAGCCTTAAATTGGCCCTTTAATTGTTCCGATGTTTATGCCCCATATGAAAACATATCGCCCAGCGCCATCTATTGGAAACAATTCAGTGTTGACTTTCCCATTAATGTGGGACGAAATGTGGCCCGAAGATCAGCGAATACCCATTTCACAATGGCAGCCGATATTGAATTATATCCCAGCAAAGATTTTATTCGGAATTTTTTGGAAATGCTCTCCGGAAATAAAAGCCTCTTAGCGGAAGGTCAACCCCATGTCTTTGCCGTGCCGGCATTTGATTTGGATTCGCATGCCATTATTCCGGACAATAAAGCGGAACTGATGACCCTGTTCCGCATGCAAATGGCCATGGCAATGCATCAGAAGAGCTGCAAATATTGTCGCCTTATTGGCCAGGAGAAAAAATGGTTGGAGAGGGGAGTAATACCCGATGGCAAGTTCGAAGTGGTGGCTGTGGTGAAACGTTTCAGCAGCATTCCCGGATTTTGGGAACCATTCTTTGTCAGCGATAATCGTATACCTGATTTCGATGAACGTTTAATGTGGCAGGGCCAGTATGATAAGCGAATGCATAACTATGCCATGTGTTTGCTGGGTTATAAATATTATGTCCTGCATCCGGCCTATTTGACTCATGCCCCAGGTCCGAAACCATTCGATGAGGATAATACACGAATGTTCGAAGCTGATGAGGAGATATTGGATATGGTAGCGGAATATGCTGTCATCTATGGCATAAATGAGGATTGTGAGGTTTGAGGAGAAGGGGGAGGGGGATTTTTTTACAAAAAAATATTTAAATTTTTAAGCAATTGTTTTTATTATTATAAAATGCAAAAAAGTACAACTAATAAAAATTATTTTTTTAATATTTCCAATTACTGGCATAAATATTCCGTTTATTACGTTCCGTCACCGCCGGGGTCAGCTCCGACCATTGCCAGTAGTTATAGGCCTCCTCATAGGCTGCATCATTATTTTTCATTGGGGCTGGTGCCACAATCAGTGGTTTTTTCGATTGACTGGCCCACTTCGATGTCATCCAATTTCGATTAGTCTGACTTCTTGGTAGCACTGCTCTATTGCTGGGTAGCACATTTATGATGCCCGGTTGCATGGCATTCCGCTGCTTTTGCTCATCAATATCAATGCTGCTGGGTGTAACCAGTACCCGGACATTTTCTGTCACGGCAGGATTATAGGTTTTCGGTATAAGAGGGTGGAACGGATCATCACCATACACCGATTTATAGCGTTCCGAATTAATGAGATTAACGATTTGGTAGAGGGCCACTAAGGTGGCCCAATTATAGCCAAGATATACTGGAAAGGAAATATTTTTAGGTTATTTTTTGTTTGAGGTAATGAATAGGGACTTACATATTACAAAGCCACCACCCAGGGTGGCTGTTATCAATATTCCCAAATTTAGTTTATTCTTGCAAACCGTCATCAGCAGGATGTGAATGGCCAGACAGTAGAGAACACGCACGAATTCGAAAATCGCCAAGGGGATGAGAAAATATTTTTTGATCTGGAAAAAATAAAGAAAATGTTAAAAAAAATTACTCAAAAAATCCACGCCTTAGATAGGCCTCAGAAAAAAATTATAAAAAACCAGTAAGGAAAGTAGTAAAGTCGGACGGGGCCGACTATATGATACCCTTCACCACTTTGGGCATATTCAACAGATGAATCCTAACAGATGTCGCATTTTAAAGGACCAGTAAAATGAAATTTGATGCATAAACATGTCATTCTGGAACCGATACTAAATTTTTAATTTGGTCAGATATAGAAGTCATATCTAAATCTGAACCGATTTTCACGAAACATTACACACATCACTTTAGAGCTAAATTAGTACACTATGCGAAATTTCGTGCAAATCGAATCGAATATATAGGGACTTTGGTGCACCATTTACATTAAATCGGACGAAAATATGTATGGGAGCTATATCTAAATCTGGACCGATTTTCACGAAATTTAACACACATCGTTCTAAACTTAATTCAGTATGCTATGCCAAATTTCGTGCAAATCGAAAGATATATAGGGACATTGGTACGCCATTTACATTAAATCGGACGAAAATATATATGGGAGCTATATCTAAATCTGAACCGATTTTCATGAAATTTAACACACATCGTTCTAGACTTAATTCAGTACGCTATGCCCAATTTTGTGTAAATTTAAATATATATATAGGGACTTTGGTACACCATTTACCTTAAATCGGACGAAAATATATATGGGAGCTATATCTAAATTTGGACCGATTTTCAGGAAAAATATATATAGGAGCTATATCTAAATTTGGACCGATTTTCAGGAAACTTGGCACACATCATTGTAGACCTAATTCAGTACTCTATGCCAAATTTCGTGCAAATCGAAGGATACAAAGGGACTTTTGTGCACTATTTACCGAAAATCGGACGAAAATATATATGGAGCTATATCTAAATCTGAACCGATTTTCCTGAAATTTAGCACACATCGTTCTAGACCTAATTCATTACGCTATGCTAAATTTCGTGGAAATCGAAAGATATATAGGGACATTGGTACGCCATTTACATTAAATCGGACGAAAATATATATGGGAGCTATATCTAAATCTGGACCGATTTTCACGAAATTTAACACACATCGTTCTAAACTTAATTCAGTATGCTATGCCAAATTTCGTGCAAATCGAAGCAAATGTAAGGACCTTGGTGCACTATTTACATAAAATCGGGAGAAAATATATATGGGAGCTATATCTAAAAGTGAACCGATTTTCAGAAAATTTAACACACATCATTCTAGACCTAATTCATTTCGCTGTGCCAAATTTCATGCAAATCGAAACATATATGGGGACTTTGGTGCACCATTTACCTTAAATCGGACGAAAATGTATATGGGAGCTATATCTAAATCTGGAACGATTTTCAGGAAACTTGACACACCTCAGTCTAGACCTAATTCATTTCGGTATGCCAAATTTCGTGCAAATCAAAAGATATATAGAGACTTTTGTACACCATTTACATTACATCGGACGAAAATATATATAGGAGATATATCTAAATTTGAACCGATTTTCAGGAAACTTGACACACATCAGTCTAAGCCAATTTCATTACGCTATGCCAAATTTCGTGCAAATCGAAAGATATATAGGGACTTTGGTACACCATTTACATTAAATCGGACGAAAATATATATGGGAGCTATATCTAAATCTGAACCGATTGTCACGAAACTTTGCACACATCATTCTAGACTTAATTCAGTATGTTATGCAAAATTTCGTGCAAATCGAAGGATATATAGGGATTTTGGTGCACAATTTAGCTAAAATCGGACGAAACTATATATGGGAGCTATATCTAAATCTTGGGGGGTACCCTTATATGGAGGATACCCGAAAAAGTGGACCTATATTTATAATTTTTAGTGGGGAAATTTGGTACCTAATAGGAACTCAATGTGCCAAATTTCAACGAATTCGGTTGAAATTGGCGCTCAAGAACCCCAAAAAATCGAAAATTGGCGGGTATCCTTATATGGGAGCTATGCCTAAACGAGGACTGATAAAGCCTATCTTCAAACTATCTTGCCTGCAGACAAAAGACGACTCTATGCAAAATTTTGCCGATCTATCTCAATTCGTTTAGACGCTAGAGTGATTACAACAGACGCATATGCTAAGATCTTAGGTCTTAGAATTTTACCCTGATCAAGAATATATATACTTTATAGGATCGGAAATGATTATTTCGATGAGTTACAAACGGAAAAACAAAATTAATATACCCTTCATACTATGGTCGAGGGTATAAAAAAGATCCGCTAACGATGTAGCGGGCCTATGCTAGTTATTTATATATGATGCGTAATAATTCCGCTAAGTTGTTTTCAACTATAAATTTAATATTGACACAATTGTTCAAGACTCAATAATAATTTCTAATAAAAATACAACAACTACATTTCAACTGAATAGCTGCTAGTGGTACTTCTGTGGAAATTGGCAGCCGTTTGCATGGTAGTCATTAACCCATTGTGGTACTGTCAACTAATATAAAACTAAGGCCCGGGCACAACCCCCCAAATTAAATCCTGTGTACGTTGCTGAAACTAAGTTTAAAAAAATCCTAAGAGGGCACCCCAAGTCCATTGCAGGTCATTTAAAATTGATTCTCCAAACTAAAAATGTTTGGCCCTGGTTGTTAATGGGTTAACATATGTATTCCAACTAAATACCTCGCACTTGAAATGTGTATCATGAAGTGGTTAATATACGACACACACACACAATTAATATCTAAGCAGGGTGTATTAATTAATTAACAGTTTTATTCGGAAATATTATACCATGCCTCGATGACATTGGCTGAAAAATTGTTGCGCTAATTTTTATATTTTTTTAATTACCTTCCATGCCCCATAGAATGCCAACACACTGCTGATCATATGGCCAAATAAATACAGATGAAAAATTATTAATAATTTTTCGGAATCTGAAAAGATAAGATGAAGAAGAAAAATCAGGTCACTTTCACAAAATGGACTCAAGAACTGCTGCGGATCACTTACCCTCATCCACCATTGTTGTAATTTTCTTGACAACAAAATGATGACGAAAATGTTCGTCATCATTGAAAATCTTTAGAATTGGATTGAATACGTCAAGGCCAAAGATGATGAGGGATAAGCCGATTAGGAAACAAGAGACCTGAAATAAAAAATAAAAAAAAAAAACAGTAAGGAAAATAGTAAAGTCGGACGGGGCCGACTATATGATACTTTTCATCACTTTGGGTATATTCAACAGATTGGATCCTAACATTTTTGAAGGACCATTAACATAAAATTAAACATAAATCGGACGAAGATATATATGGGAGCTATATCTAAATCTGAACCGATTTTCACGAAATGTAACACACATCTTTCTCGACATAATTCAATACGCTATGCCAAATTTCGTGCAAATCGAACGATATATAGGGACTTTGGTACACAATTTACCTTAAATCGGACGAAAATATATATGGGAGCTATATCCAAATCTGAGCCGATTTTCACGAAACTTGACATACATCATTCTAGACATAATTCAGTAAACTATGCCAAATTTCGTTCAAATCGAACGATATATATGGACTTTGGTACACAATTTACCTTAAATCGGACGAAGATATATATGGGAGCTATATCTAAATCTGAACCGATTTTCACGAAATTTAACACACATTATTCTAGACTAAATTCATTACGCTATGCAAAATTTCGTGCAAATCGAAAGATATATAGGGACATTGGTACACAATTTACCTTAAATCGGATGAAAATATATATGGGAGCTATATCTAAATCTGAACCGATTTTCACGAAACTTTGCACACATCATTCTAGACATAATTCAGTGCGCTATGCAAAATTTCGTGCAAATCGAAAGATATATAGGGATTTTGGTACACCATTTACCCTAAATCGGACGAAGATATACATGGGAGCTATATCTAAATCTGAACCGATTTTTACGAAATTTAACACACATTATTCTAGACTAAATTCATTACGCTATGCAAAATTTCGTGCAAATCGAAAGATATATAGGGTCTATAGTGGACTATTTACCTAAAATCAGGCGAAACTATATATGGGAGCTATATCCAAATCTGAGCCGAATTTCACCAAACTTGACACACATCATTCTATACCTAATTCATTACGCTGTGCCAAATTTCGTACAAATCGAAAGATATATAGGGACTTTGGTACACCATTTTTCTTAAATCGGACGAAAATATATATGGGAGTTATATCTGAATCTGAAGCGATTTTTCCCAATTTCAATAGGGTTCGTCCTTGGGCAAAAAAAGTGACCTATGCAAAATTTCATCCAATTCCGGTCATAAATGCGACCTGCGACGGACATGCATAAATCGACTCAAAAAGCGATCCTATGCATATTCTCAAAAGGAACTAGGGGTCTATCTTAATTATTTTTGCCTATTACAAACATATGCACAACGACATAATACCCTGTACCACAGTGTGGTGAAGGATATAAAAATAGAAAAAAAAATTATTTAAATATTTTTTTAAGGTTCGGATTTTTGAATCATTTTTTCGGGGTCTATACAAGGCGTGGATTTTTTTAAATAATTTTTTTTGGGGTCCTCCACAAGGCGTAGATTTTTTAAACAATTTTTTTGGGGTCCTCCACAAGGCGTGGATTTTTTAAATAATTTTTTTGGGGTCCTCCACAAGGCGTGGATTTTTTAAATAATTTTTTTTGGGGTCCTCCACAAGGCGTGGATTTTTTAAATAATTTTTTTGGGGTCCTCCACAAGGTGTGGATTTTTTAAATAATTTTTTTGGGGTCCTCCACAAGGCGTGGATTTTTTAAATAATTTTTTTTATGGCCAGAAGAATTTTTTTGCAATTATAGTCCCCACACTTACAAATCCCAATGTCGCTGTCACCAATGCTCCCAAACGCACTGAGCAATATAGCAAATATGTTTCCATCCACACCATGATTCAAAAAATTCTTTTAAATATTTTTTTCACAAACAAATTTGTAAAGCTACATTTTTTCCAAATTTTATATAAAATTTCCGATTTTTTCTTAATTGTTTTCCACGTCAATTTTCCTTTAGTTTATTTATGCAGGAAGGTCAGCTTTAGACTAAAATCCATTCTCTTTGACTGGAAGCTATTGGAAATAAAAATAATATTGAGGAACCATTAATGGCATGTCCAAATAATTATTGTTATGGTCGTACACACAGAGATACGGATCTGAACGACATTTAGGGGTTAGTTTTGTTGTTGCTGTTGTGATTTTAAGCGTAAAACATGAAAAACATTTTAGTTGCTCTCAAAGGCTGGCCCACACTAAGGAATTCTGTGGATACCTGTTGTTCCTAACGTTTTTTGTTAGGAAATTAGTTCAAGGTCTATGGGTACACAAACATTCGTAATACGAATGTTTTCGAAGGTTTGCTAACCACAAGGAACCAATACTTGGCGCCATCTATTGGTAATTGAAGGGCTTACATATGAAAAGCTTTATGAAGTTTCGTAAAAGCTTAAGTAAAAACGTTAATTTTTTTCAAGGCTCACCATAAGGCGTGGATTTTTTACCACGCCTTATGGTGAGCCTTGAAAAAATTATTTAAAAAATCCACGCCTTATGGTGAGCCTTGAAAAAATTATTTAAAAAATCCACGCCTTATGGTGAGCCTTGAAAAAATTATTTAAAAAATCCACGCCTTATGGTGAGCCTTGAAAAAATTATTTAAAAAATCCACGCCTTATGGTGAGCCTTGAAAAAATTATTTAAAAAATCCACGCCTTATGGTGAGCCTTGAAAAAATTATTTAAAAAATCCACGCCTTATGGTGAGCCTTGAAAAAATTATTTAAAAAATCCACGCCTTATGGTGAGCCTTGAAAAAATTATTTAAAAAATCCACGCCTTGTATAGACCCTTGAAAAAACTATTTAAAAAATCCACGCCTTGTCTAGACCCTTGAAAAAATTATTTAAAAAATCCACGCCTTGTCTAGACCCTTGAAAAAATTATTTAAAAAATCCACGCCTTGTCTAGACCCTTGAAAAAATTATTTAAAAAATCCACGCCTTGTATAGACCCTTGAAAAAATTATTTAAAAAATCCACGCCTTGTATAGACCTTGGTGCTTGAAAAAAATTATTTAAAAAATCCACGCCTTGTATAGACCCTTGAAAAAATTATTTAAAAAATCCACGCCTTGTATAGACCCTTGAAAAAATTATTTAAAAAATCCACGCCTTGTATAGATCCTTGAAAAAATTATTTAAAAAATCCACGCCATGTGGAGGTCCATGAGAAAATTATTTAAAAAATCCACGCCTTGTATAGACCCTTGAAAAAATTATTTAAAAAATGCACGCCTTGTATAGACCCTTGAAAAAATTATTTAAAAAATCCGCGCCTTGTATAGACCCTTGAAAAAATTATTTTAAAAATCTGTGGAGGTCCATGAGAAAATTATTTAAAAAATCCCCCTACCGTTCTGAATTCATAAATGTTCATGTTCCATCCCGGCAGTAACCAATGAAGCATTATAATTTTTTTTTGCCAGATAACCCTGCTACCCTCTCCCCCCTGACACCACTTAAAAATATTTCGCCTGTCATCCAGTTTTTATATCTTCGGTGTGAACCACTCAATATCGTAGCTTATTCAGCTTCGAATGCATCTGTTTCAGCAAATTGCTGTCACATTTCATGAATTTTTGCAACTCTTGTTGTTGTTGCTGTTCTTGTTGCCCCGCTCCTTAAAAAGGAAATGTCTTTACAACATGTTTTGCATAAATTGCAACAAATTTTCTTCATAGCTTCTATTGTTTGAATAGAGAGAGAGAGAAAAAAACGACTTCTTATAATCGGATGGATGCAAGGCAAAACAACAACAACAACGATTTTAAACGACATCTAAAGAAATTGAAAAGGAACAGGAACTGGGAAAAATATTTTCAAGAAGAAGAAGAAGCAACAACTAACTTTCTTAAAATCCATGATGTGTTGCCGTCGTTGAAGACGATGTCTTCTTCTTCCTCTTCGTTGTCAGTGTCGTTTTGCTGGTCCCCACGATTATGGTGTAACAATAAAATCAAATTGCCAACAATAATAACAAAAAAAAAAAAAAAAAAAAAAACAAATGGAAATTGCATTCACATTTGTTTGAATACAATGGAACTCGACCTGGGACCCTACACGAAGCGTTCGGAGATCATACTTTTTTCAGGACCCAAGAGGATACCCCTTAAAAAATCTATTTTTTCGGGGACTATCTTTAGTGCCACAACGGATTTTTTGTCAAATAGGAAAAATATCCACATTTCTGTAGGGTATGTGTCCTGGCCTCCTGTGATCTGCCTTGGGGTCCCTTGCATGTTGATTCGTCTGTCACATGAATGAATGAATGCTTGAATGGCTAAAATGACAATTTTGACAATTGCCTTGGTGTGAACATTTATTTCTATGTCATCGAATGTCGTTTTTGCTACGGGTCTAATCCTTCTGCAGGGCCAAAGGAAGTGTTAAATGTGGTCATAGAAAACAGCTATAGCTGCTTTTAAGAATGCAAATGATTTGCAATATTGGAACCACAAAAAAAAAATGCCAAATGGCAGGCGTGATGTTGTTTGGATTAACAAGTATTAAAAAAAAAACCTGAAAATAATTCGACTATTATTGAAAGGATAAAAAAGGGAGATTTAAAATCATTTTTAAGATCCTAAATAATGCCGACAACGGCATGAGGTTGAATGACTAAGCGGCAGCAAAAAAAAAACATGGTAGTTAGCAGCACCAGATTCAAGCATCTCGATATGCACAAGGCTAACTGGATTTCTCCCGATCTCGATATACACAAGGCCACCTGGATTTCTCCCGATCGAACAATGATAAATCAAAATGATCATGTTGTGATAGACGAAGGTATTCATCCAGTGTATTAGACGTTCGATTGATTCGAGGAGCGAAAATCGATTCGGACCATTACCTTGTAGCAGCCAAGGTTCGCACTCGTCTTAATGTTGCAGCAAAGGTGCGGTCTAATGTAACACGGAAATTTGACGTCGGAAAGTTGCAAACACAACAGGTAGACGAGGCCCACTCCGCTCCACTTACCCAACTGCTTGACGAAAGCACCCCTTGTCTCGATAATAATATAGAAGTGGCAGTGGCAGAAAATTGCCCACTCCCTACAAACTGCAGCAAAAGCAACACTTGGGTACCAAAAACCACAACCAAGAAACCCATGGTACTATCAGGAGTGTCGTAATGCTACCGATGTGAAAAACGCAGTGTATAGGGCGACCGTGCAGACAGTAGCAACACGTAATGTGATGGGGAACTATCGGGAGAAAAAGAGAGAGAGGAGAAACGTGTTTTCTGAAACTAAAGAAGAAAGAACAAGAAAAACGTGAGCGTGAGCAAATCGAGATGTACAGGAGTCAGAATGAAGTCCGAAAATTCTATCTATAAGTAAAACACCAAACCGAAGGCTTTGGAGTAGGCACATCCTCCTGTAGAGATTAAGAAGGAAACCTGGTGACAGAAACAGACTACTTGCTGAGGATCTTGAAGGAGCATTTTGAAAAACTTCTGGTATCAAATAGTGGTGGTGAAGAAGATACCCCAGAACCAATAAAAGATTATGGTATAGAGTGTATACCACCTAGCCAAGATGAGGTCATAGAAGCAATAATCGGCTCAAGCAATAATAAAGCAGCAGGTGCCGATGGTTTACAAGACGAACTATTCAAGACTGGTGGTCAGATGCTGGTCAGGTGCATGCACCAGCTGATTAGGACAATTTGGCTAGAGGAATGCATGTCCAATGATTGGAACTTCAGCATGCTGTGTCCCGAGCACAAAAAAGGAGACAAGACGATATGTGCCAACTATAGAGGAATATGTCTCTTTCCCATCGCATATAAAGTGCTATCCAGCGTACTGTGTGACTGACTGAAGCCAATGGTCAATGACATTATTGGACCATACCAATGCGGCTTCAGATCTGGCAAATCCACCATTGACCAGATTTTCACTCTGCACCAATTCCTGGAAAAGACCCACGAAAAACACATCGACACATACCATCTATTTGTCGACTATAAAGCCGCATTCGACAGCCCTATCCGTTCAGAGGTATTTAAAGCCATGTCTACGTTCGGCATTCCTGCAAAATTAATACGGCTATGCAGGATAACTTTAAGTGCCACAATGTCAGCAGTTAAAGTGAGAAACGACCTCTCGGAGCCCTTTAATACCGAACGAGGATTTAGACAAGGTGACAGTTTGTAGTGTGACCTTTTTAACATCCTGCTGGAAAAGGTCATACGAGTCGCAAAGGTGGACGGAAATGACACTCTGTACACCAAACAACACATGTTACTCGCCTACGCCGATGTCATCGATATAATGGGTCGAACATTACGAGCGGTAACAGACACCTATGAACAAATTGAGAAGGCGTCTGCCAAAGTGGGTCTGGCAGTAAGCGGCGAGAAGACCAAGCTGATGGTATCAACGCGCAAGACGTCCACTAGACTCGGATTAACTGTGGAACTTTGTACCGTCATAAATAAAACGAATGACATCAGTTTTGAAATTCGGAGAGGGATTGTGATGACCAACAGATGCTACTATGGTCTAAGTAAGCAGTTTAGAAACAAGGTCACCTTCCGCCGAACGAATGACATCAGTTTTGAAATTCGGAGAATGATTGTGAGGGCCAACCGATGCTACTATGGTCTGAGCAATCAACTCAAAAGCCGGGCCACCTCCCGCCAGACCAATCTCACACTCTACAAGACGTTGATACTACCCGTGCTGTTATATGGATCTGAAGCATGGGTACTTGCGCAAGCAGATGAGGCAGCTCTTGGAGTGTTTGAGAGAAAAATTCTCCGAAAGATCTATGGGTCGATCTGCGTTGACGGCATCGAATGAACCACGAGCTTTACAATTTATACGCGGACA